ATGTGGGTGCACTCACATGTGCATGCAAAAGCCAGAGGTCAATGCTGGGTGTCTTCCTCTGTCACTCTCCACCTTATTATTTATTAAGAACCCGGAGCGTGCTGTTTCAGCTGCATTGGCTGCCTATCTGAACTCCATCTGTCTCCACACACCCCTCAGCTTTGGGGTTACAGACACAGGTCACTGCACCTGGCTGGTTTTTGTTTTGTTTTGAATACAGGTGCTGGGGACCCAAACTCAGGCCTCCCATCTGCATAGCAAGCACTCTCCAGACTGAGCTAGCTCCCCATGCCATCCCACGGGAGACATTTTGCTTAGGGAAAAAGCTTAACAAGAAAGGAAAACTGCTGCTGGGTGAAGTGGCGCACGCCTGTAGCTCGAGCTGCTCAGGAGGCCAGGCAGGAAAACTGCTTAAGTTAGGTCAGGGCCGGATAACAGTGAGGAGTTAACGTCTTTTAAGGAAAAAAAAAAGTCTACTAATAAAATGTATCTAATCTTTAAAATAAAGTATAGATACATAGATCCTACTTCTGTGAAGTACCTAAATAGGCAGGGAGGTGAAGGGTGGTCACAGGGACTAGAAGGAAACAGGAAGAGGCAACAGTTACTAGACACAGGGCTTTGGTTGGGAATATGAAAAGTTCTGTGACTGAACAACATGAATACACTCAATGACCTGAAAATGACTTCAACAGCCAAGCATGGGGGGCCCCACTTAAAATCTTAACCCTTTTATATTTTTGGTTGTGAGCCTAGCCTTTAACGGCTGAGCTATCCCTCCAGCCTGCCTTTAATCCCAGCACTCAGGAGGCAGAGCCAGGTGAGTTCGAGGCCAGCCTAGGCTACAGAGTGAGTTCCAGGAAAGGTGCAAAGCTACACAGAGAGAAACCCCATCTCGAAAAACAAACAAACCCCATCTCGAAAAACAAACAAACAAACCCCATCTCGAAAAACAAACAAACAAACAAACAAAAAATCCTAACCCTCAACAGGTTTGGAAGCCCAAGGCCAGCTGAGCTACACAGTGACAGCCTCAAACAAACAAACCAAAAGAGGAAAAAAAAGTACATCTTATGTTTATAATAACTTACTATAATTACAAACTTTTTTTTTTTCTTCGAGACATGGTTTCTGTGTAGTTTTGATGCCTGTCCTGGATCTTGCTCTGTAGCCTAGGGTGGCCTCGAACTCACAGAGATCTGCATGGCTCTGCCTCCCGTGTGCTGGGATTAAAGGTGTGTGCCACTACCGCCTGGCTACAACAAACCATTTTCATAAAATAAAACCCCTTACTAGTCCACTGTGGCTAACCACACGTGTGGTGAAACACAGTGGGCGCTCTCCTCCTCCTAACACATTTCCCTTGCTCTCACAGGCCCAACTAGACAACATTTTCTCCATAATCACCACAGCTGGAGAGCTCACCTCCCCCTGGCCTGGACTCAATCTTCACTTTTCTTATGGACTCAGTGGTTTCTCCCTCAATTACAGACAAGTGTTTCAATAGCCTAGTTCCCACCCTTTCACTCCATACAGCTCCTAATCAACAGTGCTCTAAGGAATCCTCAAACCCAGGATCAACACTTGTTCTTACACATACTGCAAGGCAGACTCTCAGCAGACATCCAAAGCGCAGGAAACAACCAACCAGAGCAGAAACAAAAACATATGTTAAAGTGGACTCAAGTCTTCTATTTTAATAGGATATGACCACTCAATACAGTTCTGTAAGTCAGGTTACTGTTGGCATTTATAAATACCGTTAGCAAATTTTTATGCTGGGCTGGTTAGATGGTACCGTGAGTAAAACTCTTGCTGCCCAACCTGACCACCTGAGCTTGATCCTTAGAATCCATGTAAAAGTGGAAGAAATGCCCTGCCTAATCACAGTAACTGTAAAGAAAATTTTTATACTGATTGAAAATAGGCTAGTTCTTTTTTTCTGAGACAGGCTCTCACTGTATATCCCAGGTTGGTTTCCAGATTGGCCTCAAACTTTTGATCATCCTACTCCAGCCTCCCAAATGCTGGGGATATAGGTATGTAACACCAAACCCAAGCTAATCCATTTTGATTATTATCAAAAAGAAAAGAGGGCCAGCAAGATGGCTCAGCAGGTACGGGTGTTTGCACAAGCCTGATGACTGAAGTCTGACAAGCTGGCCTCTGACCTACATGTATGTGCATATATACACATACATAATAAGTGAAAGTCATAAAAAATGAGATATAACTCAATGGGAGACACCTTGCCTAGCATGTACAAGAACCTGGACTCAAAACCTGGCACTGCAAAGAAATGAGGGGCTGCAGATGGCTCAGAGGTTAAGAACATGGGCTGTTCTTCCAGAGGTCCTGAGTTCAATTCCCAACAAGCACATGGGGGCTCACAACCATCTGTAATGGGATCTGATACCCTCTTCTGGTGTGCAGGCAGAAACACTGTATATACAATAAATAAATCAAAAAAAGAAAGAAAGAAAAAGAAAAGAAATAAATACATAAAATTAAATGAGAAAAAGACCAATCCTGGGGACACCTGTAATTCCAGCAGTTAGGAGGCAGAAGCAGAATTGTCACAGGTTCAAAGCCAGCCTGGTCTACATAAGCAAGTTTCAAGTCACCTAGGGCTTCATGGAAAGAGCCTGTCTGAAAACACACACACACAGTGAGGGAGAAGAAGAGATGGGAAGAGAGGGAGAGATCGATATCCTCTAAAAGATGGACATTAACATTAGTCAGTCTTTATAATCCTAAAGTACTGGAGACACACTAGCCTGCCGCTTCTCATGTTTACTCCAGGACCTGGCTAGAGTGATGGTTAATCTTCACTAACTTGACTGCATTAAGAATCAAGGAAGCACAGATCTGGATATGTAAGGGCATTTCCACAGAGGTTTGTTTACCTGAGGAGAGACCTACTGCGAATGTGGGTGGCACTAGCCCATGGACTTGGGTCCAGACTGACTCGGAAGGAGAAAAGAGTAAAGACAGCTGAGCATCAGTGCTCTCCCACCTGCTTCCTGACAGCAAATGTACTGTGGCCAGAGCTTCAAGATCCCGCGGCAACAGCCAAGGGCTAGTCTCACTGCCAGGCCTTTGCCACCATGCACTACACCCTCAAACTGGGAGTTAGAATCAATCTTTCCTCTCTTAGGTTGCTTCTTGTCAGGTACTTTTTCATAGCAATAAAAAAACTAAAACACTTGGTACTGAAAGGGGAAGCCACAGCACTCAGGAGGCAGAAGCAGGCACATCTCTCTGAGTTTCAGGAAATCTGGTCTACATAGCAAGTTTCAGGCTGGCCAGGGCTGTATATATAGTAAGACCTGCAGGGGAGGGGAGAGGGTGTTTATATTGAATTTAAATCAGAGAACATGTACTCTAGTCTAGATCAGAAATTGCGATTATTTATGTATTTTGCCTGGAAAAACAGTTTAAAAAAAATAGAAACTTTGGAGTCCAACAGTTTGAATTCTAGGCTTGTGATTTCCCAGCTGAACAAACTTCGTAAGTTACTTTGTGAACTTCCACTTCACTATCGATACAAGGGGAATAACAATAATACATTGTAATTGTAAAAAGATTAAAAAGCTAATGCATGGAAGACAATAAAAAACTCCTTCTATTTTTCCTCTTTCCCTAGGAAGAAACCCAGCTGGATAACTCTGTCTAGAATACTAAGGGTATATGTTTCTAATTTTGAATTACCTCTAAGAAACATAAATCACTTATTGTAATTTTAGAACCACATAGAATACTGGAAAAATATCCAATCCAGAGCACTCATGACATTGAAAGAAAAGAGAATTGGCTTGGCACTTAAGCGGCACAAAGTTACAACTACCTAACCCCAAACAAGACCAAAAGAATCTAGGTCCCCAGTGTGGGGCCCAATTCTCTTCCCACAGCTGCTAACACCGTCCCTTCTACTTACAACTCATAAACACACGCGCCTCTGCTAAGTGGGCGTTTCAAGGACACTATTTTACCTTTGATTCCTCGGTCCATTTTCATTAAGCGTCTGATGATGGACTCACAGCTGTCTCCTTGCCTGACATCGATTTTGGTTGAGAAGTGGCCATTGGATGGCTGGGGATTTACTAGGAAAATTGACACACCAGGCTAGGAGAGTAAAAATATAAGTTATGACACATCAAACTTGAACACTGCCAAAAATAAGGGCAATCTCTACTGTATTTTTTTTTTTCTTTTTCTTCTTCTTTTTTTGGTTTTCCAAGACAGAGTTTCACTGGCTGTCCTGAAACTTTCTCTGTAGACCAGACTGGCTTCAAACTCACAGAGATCCGCCTACCTCTGCCTCCTGAGTGCTGGGATTAAAGGCGTGTGCCACCATGCCCAGCCCCTCTTCTACATTTTCAATACCCACTAAAGACATTTCTAATTCTGCATAAAATCATGAGCAAGACACATGAAAGAAAAACTGTAAGTTCATGTTTACACCTAGATGTCTTGGTAAAACAGATTACAACTGTATGTATCAATGCTGGTGACAGACTATAACAACAACAGCATTTTCTCTTCTCACAACTACTATCATTTGTTCAACTTCTCTATTACAGACCAGGCACAGGAAGAAGCACTTTATAGACATGACTTTCATATCCACACAGGGAAAATTAAAGCTGTATAAAACACATTGTTTCATTTATTCACTTCTGCAAGCCACACCACGAGACAATGAAAGAATTATTATAAAATTCAGGTGTGATAAACTCAGGTCTCCATGATATGATTACCTTACTCTTTCAAAATAGACCAGTTTTCAATTAAATATGGTCCAAATAACCACATGTCTAAGTCCTCTATTAGAATATTCTATGCAGTCATAATTGTAGTCCAAATCTGAATGGATTCTTGGAGACTAAATAGAATCTGTAAGACCTTTATACTTCTACCAATAATGACCAAAAAATAAGGAAGAGGCAATTCCAGCATTAATTAAGATGATGAACCTGCCTGGTTTATACCAAAAAGCAAAAAGCCTTGCATAACAGATAGTTAGAATAAGACATTTGAAAGTTTTGTCATGGTTTAAAAGTCTTACCCACAGCTAGCTTGTTTTCATTTTTTGTTTTTCAGTAAAAACCAGGTTCAAAGCTGGGTGGTGACTACACATGCCTAATCCCAATGCTCAGGAGGCAGAGGCAGGTGGATCTCTGTGAGTTCAAGGCTAGCCTGGTCTAAAGAGTGAGTTCAAGGACAGCCAGGGCTACACAGAGAAACTCTGCCTCGAAAAACCAAAAATAAATAAATAAAGAGGTAAATAAACAAACAAATAAGTAAATAAATGGTCCAGAGCCTCTTCCTTTGTTTTTTAAAACTACAAATAATAAACAACACTACCATAAGGCATAACCAGTACTGCACAAGCCAGAGCAACAGAACACCTAAGTGCAGCCCCATTTTAACCCTTCCTGTTCAATTCCTTCCACCTATGAATGACGATGTTGCTCTTGTCTAGCTAGGCCTAGAGCAATGATTCAACATGGCATCTTCAACTTACTTCTGTTCTGAAAACATTAAGCGGCTTCCCAGGACAACATTCTTCCCTGACTTTATCTTCAGCTTCAGAGGCAAACTTGACTTCTATATGTTCTAGCTAAACGGATAGGGAAACAGAAGTCATTAGCAGCACTTAATATGGCTGAAATCAATCACCACCTCATCTCATTAAGAGCAAACTGGTTTCTCCACTTAATATGAAACGATCTGTACAATTTATTGTTTTCCTTACAAACATGAAGTGAAATGTACAATGTTATCAACATTCATTCATCTTAGCTGTTTCATGGCATTGTTCTTTACAGTTGTGTGTGTCACTTTCTATATCGGAATCTGACCTCTACCCACACATAAGAAAGAGGAAAAGCAGCATGAAAACCTTCCACCTAAATAAACAACAGAAGCTCCAAAGTTTATCATTTGAGAAGTACATAAGCAGAATAGTTCAGTAACGAAACACACTGCAGATTCCTGAATCTGACTCTGAGGTGTGTGCCTACTGTCCACGTGAAAAGACTAAAAGGAGTTCCTGACTGTTGAAAATGTATACATGAGCACTTAGAGATACACATAAAACAGATGTCTGCTAATCTTTGACTTCGTGATCAACAGGCCTAGCAGGCACAGGCTCTGGGCTCAAACACCAGGGACAAATGCACAGTGACAATGCGTTCTCGTGGAGAACTCTCCTTCAGCTGTGCTCAGGAAACAGTTCGCAGTCACTCTAAACCCACATGGTTTTCAGTGTCTTCATTATCATTAGCGCCACATTCTGAGTCTTCTAACAGTATTCTGCAGCAAATTAGTTTTCCTTTTGCCTCAGCTAAGGGAAAGCATTTTTAGATTCTGTGTAAGTTGTACTGAAAATGGACCAGGACCACAGATTATAATTAAGTCAATTCTGTAACTCTGAGGTCTGAAATTGGGACAATTAAAGCCTTCCTATTATGCCACATTCTAAAAGGCATCTAAATACAAAAAAGTGTCGCTCTGGTTTGGGGCTATGGGTTTTCTTTGTGTGTGTGTGTGTGTGTGTGTGTGTGTGTGTGTGTGTGTGTGAGAGAGAGAGAGAGAGAGAGAGAGAGAGAGAGAGAGAAATGTGCTTCAGATTCTCCTGATTGCTTTAAAGACAATCTAGGGAGAATCCCTAGCCATATATAGCCCATGTTTTACATATAAGATAACTGATAAATGAATGAAGTGACAGATCATTTTCTTTCTGCAATTTTTATATCCACTCATTTGCTTTCATCTGAAAAACATTTATTAATTATTTAGTAAAAGTTCTAAAGACTGAAGATGAAGTTTATGGAAAGTATCCTAACAGGCTGCAGAGCTGGACTGGTTTATAGGAAACCACAGTAATTAGCTATGCAATCCCCGGCCCTCTTACCTCGAGAGAATTTGTTAGGTAGACTATGTTCTCCATAAGTACTGCCAGCTCATCAAATTCCAACTGTAAATCCAAGACTCGAGGCCCTTTCTTCTCCATATTTTCCTAACAGCCAAATGGTTTTGAAAAACAAAATCATATTAAAAACATGTTTAAAAGAATCTGTTTTTCCTAAGTAATCAATCATTCTCTCAACTAATAAAACCTTTACATTTCAGCAGGTAAAGGAAAGGCCTTTGACTCATGGGTTTCCCTTATCTTGCTTGTTAATGCAAGTACTTGCTCAGAATAATTGCCATTTAAAATAAGATTTAAGGAAGAAGGGAAAACACTGGAAGGCTTGGGATTTCAGGCATTGAAAAATAAATGTGGTTTTAAAACTGTGTGTTTAGATGATTTACTGTACAAATGGATTCATGAAAAAAAAATTATGAAAAAAAATCTCTTCAGTTAATTTTTTTTTAAATTTTCCAAGATAACAGTAAAAGTCCCAAAGATATTCCTGCAAAGCTTAAAGAAAAACTGACACTGTCATGCTATATAAGTATTCATATAATCTTGTGATATTAAAAAAAAATTTCTCATTCTTAATTTTCTTCAACATTAAATATCTGCTACTCCAAACATAATCTTAGTGGTCCTTCTCCTTAGGTGCACCTACAGCTGTGTAACAATGCGTCACACTCCTGGGAAAGTGGCCCCACATTGTTCCCACTCTGCACAGGCTGCCATCTGCAGTTGACTGGCACTTTTCTATAGGGAGCATCAGCTACTGATCCCAGTGCACTGCGGGTGCTCCTCACCCATCCTTCCCCCGTGGTGACACAGCACAAAGGCAATCAATCGGGCAGGGGCCAGTGCTGCTCTTAGCCTCCCAACCTTCAGAGCCACAAGGCAAAGAAACTCCCGTGTTTATACAAACTATTGTCCAGCCTTGGCTAGGGATGTCACATGGTAGGATGCTTGCCTAACATGTGCAAAGCACTACATTTAATTGCCAATACCACAAAAAGAGAAAGAAAAAATTATCCAGTCTGTAGTACTCTGTTATAGCAGCAGAAAATGGACTAAGATATCACCTAAGTTCTGTTTCCTTTCCCATAAAGTACTAAAAAGGCAGTTTCTTTAGAAACAGGCTCTCATGTAGCCCAGACTGATTTTCAACTTAATATGTAGCTGAGGAGTGCCTGAAATTCTTATCCCCCTGCCTCCACCTCCCAAGTACTGGAATTATAAGTGTGTACCACCACACCTGGTTTAGTGTGGTGCTGGGATCAAACCCTGAGCTTTGGACACAGTAAGCATGCTCTCGACCACATGAGCCACATACCCAGCCCAAGAAAGCTATTCTCTTATTCTCAGATTCATCGATGATTTTCAACATTTGCAAAACCACTGATTTTTTTGCTTGGCACATCAACAATACTATTTAAGAATATATTACTGCTGGGCATGGTGACACACACCTTTAATCCCAGCATACAGGTGGCAGAGGCAGGAGGAACATTTAATTTGAAGCCAGCCTGGTCTACAGAGCAAGTTCTAGGACAGCAAGGACTACACAGAGAAATCCTTAAAAACAAAAACAAACAAACAAACAACAACAAAAAAAAAACAGGCAGGAGATCTCTGTGAGCTTGAGGCCAGTCTTATCTACATAGAGTTCCAGGCTAGCCAGGACTACAAAGTGAGACCCTGTAACAAAAAATTAATTAAATGAAAAATAAGCAGCCAGGCAGTGGTGACACATGCCTTTAATCCCAGCACCTGGGAGGCAGAGCCAGGCGGATCTCTGTGAGTTCAAGGCCAGCCTGGTCTAGAGAGTGAGATCCAGGACAGGCTCCAAAATACACAGAGAAACCCTGTCTTGAAAAAAAAAAGAAAAAGAAAAAAGAAAGGGAAAATCTGATACTGAGATCCTGAAGAACTCAATTCTTTCATAACAAAGAACTTACTAGCCCAATACATCAACAGCCACTGTTCTATCGACGAATCTAGCCATGGTCACTGTAGTGCATGCTGCTCAAGTTACCCACAGAAATGTGGAAATGTCATTCCAGTCAAAGGATCCACTAACAACACCCTAACATGAGCCAAAGAACGTACTTTCTTCCTCAGAATTGGAAAGGAAGAAAGGCAGAGCATGGGAATAAGTCAGTGCAGCAACTCTAAGCCTAATTTTCTTCTGGAATACATATTTTCATATATTCAGCAATTGTGCAAGTAAATTCAAAATCTGACTGTTCATGTCTCACAACCACTGACTGAAAAGTGCTATTTTAGCATGTCACGGGAGGCGGGGGGATTGGGAAGCCTTTTCTCTTCCCTTCCTCTGTCCTAGCTAACCATTTCTTAAGTGGTCATAGCTGTCCAAGGTCCATACTCACTCACCTTAATCATGGCAACAAATGGCATAACTTTCTTCATATATTTCTTCAATTCTGGCAAATTGCCTAGTTCACAAGCAATGACTTTGTTATCAGGCAATTTTCCACCGTTGGCCTAAAAATGGAAGCAGGAGAGGAGTGTAAAGAGAAATATTTAAAGATGATGCGAGACCACAGGTATGCCTGCAGGAACTGTGCCAGATATAGAGGGTGGCTGCTGGAGAGGATGCTCAGCCTAGCATCATGAAGTGCAAGTTCAGGGGCTGATGCAGAAAGATCCCTTTCTGAATAGAAGAGGCCTGCTTGTCAGTCCAAATGAGGAACACAAGTGCGGTGCACCGAATATTTGCCTTTCTTAATAAAGGCAGCCCCTCCTGGTAAAAGACTGACGCAGTCTTATAAAGATCTTGTCCTCAAGTTCAAAGATCTTATCATTTCATTGGTCATGTTAAAAAGGAAAGCAATACATTGCTTATATAAAACTTATATATGACTACTTTGGGAAGATGTTTCCTCCATGATTGTGTGAGTGAGAGTGTATGCATCTGTGTGTGAGTCTGTGTGTGGGTCTGTGTACATGAAAGCAGGTGCCCACAGAGGTGAGAGGTATCAAATCCCCATGGAGCTAGAGTTGCAGGCAGTTGTGATCTGCCTGATGTAGGTGCTGAGAACCAAACTCAGGTCCTCAGCAAGAGCCATCTCTCTAGCCCTGAAATATGATTGCTTTTGAATAGTCTCCTGGGGGAGGGGGGCAGCGGTAGGGAGAGGATTCCCTAGTTTCTGATGCTAAAAATAGTGTCATTTCTATCTACTCAAAACAAAACAAACAAACAAAAAAAGTTATCACATATCACCAATGGACAGTCATGTAATGGTACACACACATACACACATGCAGGTAACATACACTTAAAATAATATACATATACATACTATAATCATACAGATAAAAAAATTAAAAAAAGAAAAGTTAGGGTCAAGAGTAGTGGCACACCTTTAATCTCAATACTCAGGAGGTAGGGGCAGGCAGACCTCTGTAAGGGATTGGCTGACCAGGATTAGCCATAAAGATGTTGGAGGACTGAGGAAGTCAGATAGAGAGGGACAGGAAGAGAGAAGGGAAGGTGGAGGGAGATTTCGGGGGTTTTTGGATGGGGAGGATTGGACGTGGAGAGCAGGGTCAGCCGATCACTGATTCCATCCTTGATTCAAGGTGGCTTTCTTGGCACAGCAGATTGACAGTGAGAACAATCCTACCACAACAGTTCTGAAGGGAAACAACATCACCTCAAAGTGACTTCGCAGGACCGACAGGGTGACGTGCTGCCAGAGAGGGTAGTTCTTTGCCACGTAGATGGTGCAGTGTGAGGGCCTCTGTGGTGGTTGCTTGTCAGTCTTCTGCACAGGAGAAGAAAAGAGAAATATGGGTCCTGTGTAAACCAAAGATGGGAACACTCAGCACCTAGACTACCACCCTTAACAGCTGGAACATACATGCTTCAAACATTTAACAGTTAGAACAAGCATGCTTCAGACATTTAACAGTTAGAACATGCATGCTTCAGACATTTAGCAGTTAGAACATACATGCTTCAGACTGCTGACAGTTAGAACATACATGCTTCAGACCTTCAACAGTTAGAACATACATGCTCCAGATCCTTAACAGAACATACATGCTTCAGACCCTTAGCAGTTAGTTAGAACATACACACTTCAGACCTTTAACTGTTAAAACATACATTCTCCAGACCTTTAACAGTTAGAACATACATGCTCCAGATCTTTGACAGAACATATATGCTCCAGACCTTTAACAGAACATACATGCTTCAGACCTTCAACAGTTAGAACATATATGCTTCAGAGTTGTATCCATAGTACACATAGGACTACCCATTTTAATCACTTATTTTTCACTAGTTTGTTATCTGACCACATGTCATAAGTAATGATCTTTTTAAAAACTGGGCTAGAGAGATGGCTCAGTGGTTAGGAGCACTGGCTGTTCTTCCAGAGGATTTGGGTTCAATTTCCAGCTTACAACTGTCTGTAACTCCAATTCCAGTAGCTCCAGACATACATGCAGGCAAAAACACCAATGCACATACCATAACATAAATAAATAATTAATTAAAAAAAAACAAAAAACATTTGAAGGATAACTTTACCTTCCCTTTAGCAGGCATCATGTAATTCTTGAGACGTAATCTAAGGTCATGTGCTACTTCCATGAGATACTGTGAGGAACGGATCAAAGATTCATCCACAGGACCTGCCACAGGCCATGAGGCATTCATAATTGAATCAGGCTTTAAAAAAAAAAAAAAAAAAAAAAAAAACCACGACTGAGTGAGATTAAACACTTGCTTTCCAGGCCTTGCTTACAGTTTCACACCATGGCTACCATCTGTAATCGTGTGCCCCAAGTTCAAACCTGACTGCACATAGCACACTTCTCCAGTCCCTGATCTAATGTTCCCTAGAATTCAAGCTGTGAAGTCTGACTCTACATTCTTAATTAGCATCCATTTGTACAAGCATATTAATACCCACACACATATGCTCACTTTCAAAGAAAATTATGTAATGCTAATCTGCCTAAATTTAATCATTATTATATAAATTATGCATGCTCTCGGTTTTTATCCTATTAATACATCCAATATTAAAAGTATAGCTATTCAGCATATAGCTCACTAGCACACTTCCGCATGTGCTCATAGACTGGAAAACACAAACACCTGGCTAAGGAGGCTGGAAAGGAACATGAATCAGGCCAATCTACTGATCTCCAAGCCAAGGAGAGACAAGTGAATTTATCTTCGTACTATGAATGTGACATAGCATCCTGACATGCAGCCCTATATATGCAAGGAGTTTTATATAAAACAAGAACATTTATGTAAATATACTCTTATATCTTTGTTCATAAGCACTTCATTCTGTTAATTATAGCTCTCTAAAATATTTCCACCTTTTTAATCACAGGAAGAACCATATTACACATGCATGCAAATGTACATCTGAACATATGCAAATACAGATGGGAATTAAATAGTAGACAACATGCACATGATCACATTTCTAACACATACATATGTGTATGTACAAATGCACATATATGATCTCTCTTTCAATCTGATGATGATGAATCTAGTATTATTCCTGAACTTCTCATGAGTAACAGCATTATCACAACACTTATTTACTAAGGCCAAACCATACTACCCACAATATTTAAAACCCAATGATGTGTGTACCTTTCCCAGCAGTGTCCAGATGTGCTCACACAAATGTGGACAGAAGGGAGCAAGAAGAATTGTCTGAACTTCAATAAACCGGAACACAAGCTCTCTGTGCATCCCTTCTGTGGCCAGTTCACGGTATTTATCTTTCGAAGCCTATACAAAATTTCAAAATTATCATTTTCCTCACCGTCTTTAAAATAAAGATGAAATGTTCAGTTTCTTGGTTTTAATGCATTAAGTCTTTTAAAAATTCCATAAGTTATTATAAAGATTTCACTTTATTTTTAAAACTCTACAGTATAAAAACAAGCTCTTGTCCAGAGAATATTATATCTTCATATTAATGATTCTCAAGAAAGAATGTAGCTGAGTAGCAAGAGTGCATGCCTAGCACATGCAAGGCCCTGGGTTTAAAACAAACCAGAAAATTGTTTCAATTTTCTTGACTGCAAGAAAAATAGAGAACAAAAACAAGTCTCAGAATTTTGTCTGTTTGTCTACCTGGTTTGGGGTTTCTGAGACAGGGTTTTGCTATGTATCCTACGCTTGCCCTACCTCTATTTTTATGACAACACTCTTTGATCCAGGCTAACTTCAACTCATAGCATTACTCCTGCCTTAGTCTCCCAAGTGTTGGGATTAAAAGCATGAGACCATGATGGTCAGCTTTTTTATTTTTTAAGGCATTTTAAGGCACGTTTATGTCGGTGAGGCATAAAGCTAGATCTCTGCACTGTTTTCTAAGATCAGGCTTTGAGCAGCACCCAGAGCAACACTAACATAAAGGGCTATGAATGCAAGATGTCCACGCTCAGCACTTGGCTTTATTTAACCACATCTGAAAACCAAGTTACATAAATCCCAATGTAACATTTACAAAACTGATTGAGTAAAGCTACATGTGGCCCTTGAAATGCCAAACTTGGAAAAATACTGACACCTTGTGGAGAAACTCAGAAAGCATTTGCTTTCATGTTTATGGCAATTAATTATACTTTTGCCTTCATATTTATCAATTTAAAATGCTTTTGTGCAGTGGGACACAGTGGTACATGCCTATGTGGAGGCAGAAGGACCTCTTCTTAATGCTCCTGGGTAAAATAAGAGCAGAATTTTCTATACTAAGATACCACAGACACAATGTCAAAGAAAACTACTTTAAAATCACAATTTATCAGAAAACTCAGAAACTCACTGAAAAGATTTTCAGTCTGTACTTTGGACATGCAATTATTTCACAGCAAGAAGAAAAAGGAGGAAATACACCATATTAATGCTGACATGTTTTAGATACCAAAATAATAGCATACCTGAAACTCAAAAAAACCTGTTTTCAAAGCTTCTTTAAACATCATTTTTTCATAGTTTTGATCTGTTTTTATAATTCCTGCATTCATTTCACTATTGAATAGGGAAAGAAAATCTATTCAGTTTAAAGGCAACTATATATTTTATGTATTTTAAAGTATTATTGTATACTTATATTTATGTTTTATATATTTATATGACATAGAATTGTACTTATGTATTTTATATATATATATATATAAATATATACATACCTAATACATAGATCAATAACCAGCAAAATGAGTATGACACCAAAAATATTACAAACTGCTCAATACAAGGGCCAGGAGGATGGCTCAGTGAGTGAAGGGCTGCCATACAAGCTTGAGGGCTGAGCTCAGATGCTCAGGGCTCAACTGAAGCCAGATGATGTGAGATGGGAGGCTGAGATAGGGGAATCCAATGAGGCCCCCAGGCAAGCTAGCCTGCTGTACACAAGGACCAATGCCTGAGGTTGTTCTGACACACACACACACACACACACACACACACACACACACACGCTTTTAAATTTTTTGGTCTTAAAAAAAATTGCCCAATATAAAAACTGCTTTGTCCCCCCTTAAAACCGTACAGTTTATTTGTCTACCCACTTGTATGCAATGTCGGCCTTCACTATCCAGGGCTCCTATTTATAGTAACAGACTTAACAGGGTTTTTGTTGTTGATTGTTAAGTTTCTTGGTGGAGCTGAGCATGGTGGCCTGTGATCCAGGTACTTGGAAGGTTGAGGCAGGATGATATTAAGCTCCAGGCCAGCCCTAGGCAGTGTGAGACCCTGTCTCCCCAAATACTTCCTCATTGAAATCATTGTTAATGATCCTTAACACGCATGAAAATCACCTAACTAAGGCGGCAGCCAGGATTTACAGATGTTAATAGATACCAGCTATTGGGAAACACATCTCTCATCATTCCAGGTTTAATTTGGCCTGAGCTGGCCCTGATCTCTTTCATGTCTTAGCTCTCACCTACATACACTGTACTTCAAATACCATACCCTTCCCAGAGATTGTATGTGTTTTCTCCCCGCCCTTCAAGACTACTGTCTATTTTTCCAAGAAACCAGCATTCTCACATCTCTCCAGTCCTCCTCACTCCTGCTACCAACTTCCCAGGTAGTAAGTAGGTGCCTTGTCCTCCCAGCAAGTCTGTGTCGTCTCATCTCTCCCAACAAGGCCAGCAAGCATCTTGAATTTTTTTAAAGGTCCTCCTCCTTTTCTCTTAACCTGTTCACCTATCACCATTTTATGCTACTGTCATGGGAAACCGTGAGAGAAAGATTATACAGAGGTTTTGGAGATACAGACAAATTCACATCCCAAGTTTCCTATTACTACAGCAAGGCATGTAACGAAATAACTGCTAAGCCTCAGCTTCTTCATCTGCAAAGCTGAGCCAGCTACTAAAGTTAGCGCACGAGGTGGCTTTGAGGCTAGAGTCAGATAGAAGTGTCTGGCACAGAGAGGCCTCGACAAACAGCAGTTACTGCTATCATTTAACTTCTTTTAGAAAAAAGAGGAGAAAACCAGGAACACTCGGCCACTCCCACGGCATAGCGTTGGCCCAGGGTTACCTGGCAAACACACGATCATTGAACGAGCTGGCAGGTCCACTTCTGAGGCTGTCGCAGTTGGCGAGCATTTCTTTGACCCACTCTACCCATGTGTACAAACGGAGGATACCTGCGTCTGCCATGGCTTCCACAAAATTGGCATCTTCAACAGTGTCACCAGCATCAGCCAGAGCCAGGCGCATTCCTGAAAGAAAACAAAATTGGTCACTTAAAAACATGGTTACTGACTGGGGGGTGGTGGCTCACACCTTTAGTCCCAGCAATCAGGAGGCAGAGGCAGGAGAATCTCTGAGTTTGAGGTCAGTCTGGTCTACAGAGAGAGTTCCAGGACATCCAGGGCTACACAGAGAAACCCTGTCTTGAAAAACCAAATTATATATATATGATTACATATGATTACTAAAGGCCAGGCATGGTGGCAAACACCTGTAATCCCAGCACTTGGGAGGTAGAAGCAGAAGTTCAAGGTCATCCTTGGCCAAATAGAAAGTTTGAAGCCAGCCCAAGCTATATGAGATTTTGTCTCAAAACGGACAAAACAAAGCACACACTCACATTCTAGGAAAAAAATTATGCATCCAGTTGGGTACACTGCAATCCTTACATATAAATTAAGAAATAATAAATGTTAAATATGACTGTCCTGGATCAACAGCAAAAGTAAGACTCTCAACTATTTACAATACTTTTTGTATCCTTTGTATCACATTTGTCTTCTTTTATACATTTGTATCAGTTTTCACACACTTAGGACAAGGTGTTTCTTCCCCAGGCATGTTGAGATGATAATGGTACTGAGGCATGGTTCTTGTTACACATAGTGAGACAAGCAATTAAGGCTGAGCCTTAGGATTAGGAGTGTCTGTGAAAGGAATCCCAGGTCAGCAGTCTTCATTTATGTGGTATGGGGTGGCATGCCTGCTTGATGAGTGGGGTCTATCACATGAATATGAAGATGCCCTGAAAACAGTTAAAGGTTTAGAGGAAATTTTACAGTCCTTGAGATCAGTGCACAGGAGTCGAGATTGTCAAAGAGCAGCTGAGTTTGCCTGGCCTCTGCTGTGTGTAGTTAGAGATGCATCTGAGTCCAAGATGGCAGCCAAACAGGAAGTTGTTTGTATAAAGGAACAATTACAACAGGAAAGGGAGATGTGGCTAGCACCTCTGTGTTAGCCTCTGATTTGGCAAGTAAATTAG